TAGCTTTGAGATAATTTGAATTCAGTAGGAAACATAGAAGTAGCAACACATGCTTAATCTTTTCACTGAAATCAATTTACCCATGGTTATATTCTTTATATAGTACTGCTTCTTATAATATTTTGGTCAGTTCTTATAAGAAGCACATTATTCATTTTAAAATGATCCAAGAGTCAGCAATACTTTTAAAAGAGTAGGGCTTTGCCCTTTCCTGTTTCATTTCCCTCTTTTCCTCCCCTGCTTCGCCAGAGGAAGTGAAATCAAATTCATCTTCTCCTGAAGCAAAGGTTTCATGCATTAGAAGGATACATTCCTTCACATCTAAATTCCAAATTCAGAACAGATCCATTGCCCTTGGAAATACCAATATTTTTTTTCTATTAATAGTTTATTTTCAATGCTTTTGAAGCTCAGGTAAAGCTTGGGGATAAAAGAATCAGAGAATTAGTCTTCTCTGTTAGAAATTCAGTTGTTTTTCATGAAGGCAGAATGCCGCCACTCAGAGGATTCTGCCCAAAAGCTTTGGAAGGATGTAATGTCAAAGGGGTAATGGATTCACATTGTTTGGGATCATCCAGTTTTGGTGACCACGATGTAAAAAAGATGTTGAGACTCTAGAAAGAGTACAGAGAAGAGCAAGAAAGATGATTAGGGGACTGGAGGCTAAAACATATAAGGAACGGTTGCTGGAATTGGGTATGTCTAGTTTAACGAGGAGAAGGACGAGGGGGGACATGATAGCAGTGTTCCAATATCTCAGGGGCTGCCACAAAGAAGAGGGAGTCAAGCTATTTTCCAAAGTGCCTGAAGGCAAGACAAGAAGCAATGGATGGAAACTAATCAAGGAGAGAAGCAACCTAGAACTAAGGAGAAACTTCCTGACAGTTAGAACAATTAACCAGTGGAACAACCTGCCTCCAGAAGCGGTGAATGCTTCAACACTGGAAGTTTTTAAGAAGAGACTGGACAGCCATTTGTCTGAAATGGTATAGGGTTTCCTGCATGAGCAGGGGGTTGGACTCGATGACCTCCAAGGTCCCTTCCAACTTTATTATTATTATTATTATTATTATTATTATTATTATTATTATTATTATTATTATTATTATTATTATTATTATTATTATTATTATTATTATTATTATTATTATTAATGTTTCTAGTGTTTCTGTCTCTTAAATATAAACCAGAAGATTCAGTTCAGACCCAGTGGGAGGAGCCAATGTGTAGATTTGCTTTTAAAATAATTAGGAAGTTTTCCAGAGAATGCTGAAGGCTTTTTTTTATCATTGATATTCATTAGAAACCAACACATGATTTCTTAAACACAAATACATAGCATTTGAAGGTATAATTAGAGCCATGAGATCTGGGAAGAAAAATTCCAAATGTCCACCTCATGGTAGGAGAGAGTTCTAATAGTCATTTGGAGACCAACAAAATTTTCTTGAGCACCATGCATTAACTTGGCATTCAGTTAACTAATTGTTAATAACTAATAATTCATTGTTCTTACAGATTTATCCAACAAAATGAAGTTTGTGATCGTTCTTGCCTGCCTTTTGGCCATCGTTCTTCCTCTTGAGGTACACATTAAGGATTGTGATTGCATGATAGGATTCATTTAATGCTTGAAAAAAAATATCTAGGCTTCATTTAATGCTTGAAAAAAAAAATAACTGCACAGTTTTTGAGAGTCAGGGGGTTTGTGTGGTTCTATTCGAATGGGGTGAGCAGAGCATTCATTTTCTCAAAATTCTTGTCTGATGGTTCAGGGAGGGAAGCTAGCATTATTTTTCTACATTGCAAAAGGTGGCTGGGATGGATGAATCAGAGAGACAGATAGAAGGAGAGAGAAGGAATGTTCAGTTCATAGAGGAAGATCATACCCTGCAGAGACTTGAAACAAATCTTTCTTCTCATTAGCATGGAGCAGAAACAGTTGTTGAAAGAAAGTCTTCATCAGGGTCCCATCCAAGCCGGGAATAAACAAAATGGAGACTGCTTTAGAAAGAAGGTTGTAGTTAATTGAACAGCAGAGGCAGACAGAAGCATGGCTCTGGGAAAGCTGACCACATGTTGCTGGGAGTGTTGGGTTTTTATACCTCCTTGGGCTTTTGAGGTTGTTTCCTGTTCCTGTTTGAGGCTTTGTATTCCCTGTGTCATGTACTTTGGCCTCAGTCTGAGTGTGCCCTTTTGGTATTGGTGGGTTAATCCTATTATGTTTCCTGTCCTTAGAGTTTGGGTGGGGATGTGGATTTTAGGGCTTTTTGTCTTCCTAATCTCATCAGCTTCTATCTTCTTGGCTCCAACCTTTTTGAAAGGATTATCACATCTGCATTTCTAAAAGCTGGCCTCTGCCTAGTTTCTGTTGGGCTATTAAGAAAAACTGGGCTTGCTTTTCTGCCTTTAAGATCCTTTGGGGAAATATATTCTGCCTTTTTAATATTCCCCAAAACATTTCTTTCGTGTGTGTGTGTGTGTGTGTGTGTGTGTGTGTGTGTGTGTGTGTGACCTCCCACACAATGTTACTCAACCCTGGCAGCTGTAAGATGTGTGGCAATGGCTGGCTATTAAATTCTGGGAGTTGAAGCCCAGACATCTTACAGTAGCCAATGCTGAGAAACAATGGTATACTATAAAGGTTTCAAGGTAAGTATTTCTTGTTGATAAAATTTCCAAAGTTGGATTTGGAGATGATATCCTTGAAAGTTTGGAAGGTGTCAGGCTGATGGGAAGATCAGCTTGCACAATCCCATGTCCTATCAACCCAACTGAAAACTGGGATCAAGATTTTTTTATATGGTCCTTTGGATACTTGGCTGAAGGCAACCAAGATGCTTGGTTGGGTGCTCTTGTAATGGGCTGCAATCTTTGCTAATGGCTGGCTTGGTTTGGCTCGGGGAATCAGTTCGATAAATAAAACATCTGATAGACTGATTTGGTCAAAAACAGTTATCACAATAAATGAAATATTTTAAAAATAAATCTAACATTAAATACATTTACCCATTTTAACTTGATGTCTTCCTCATTTTTCTCCTTCTCTTCCAGGCCAGCAGCAGTGAAAGTGAAAGCAATGAACGGAGATCCCCACCTTTTCCATCATATCCATGTCCAGATGCATTAACCAAAAATATAATTGAGGCTTTAATAAATATACTCTGTATCAGAACAGCCCCTCCGAAGATTGAATGAAACCTGTTGACTGGTATGTGCTGTTGAGATAGTTTACTTCAGAAGGGAATATTTTGTGTGCTACTCCTTCTACTGTTTCACGATGACTGATCTTTTTAATCTTCCAGAAGAAAACTTGGTTATTTCCTCAGGTATTTGGCTAGGATAGGATGGAGTCAAGGAATTAGCACTATGACTGATTCTGGGACCTTGTTCCCTGTGTGGTGATTGTGGTGTTGGTTTTTATTGGTTGCTGTGGGTCATCTAGGATCACTTTATGAAATATAAATGATTATATAAGATCTGCTCCTTACTAAGAGAATTAACACTTTGGATCAGGGTTCTTCAAACGTGGTCCTTTTATGACTTGTGGACTTCAACTCCCAAAATTCCTCAGCCAGTGTGCCTGGCTGAAGAATTCTGGGAGTTGAAGTCCACAAGTCATAAAAGGGCCAAGTTTGAAGAACCCTGCTTTGGATGAAGCAATCTTGCCCAAGAAGAACCAAAGAAACGTTTACAGAAGGCAGCTTGGCTCTTCAGTAAATGGGGGACTTAAAATTGCAGAAACCAACTGAAAAAAAAATCCCAGTAATTCACGGAAACCCCAGTCTAAAGGTGAAGGACTTGCTTACAACCAAAGAGAATAACAGTTATTCTGGAGCTGTGACAACTAACGTTTGAACACAGCAGGCAGCACTTAGTCTAGTCATAAAGGGAGGAGTTGTGAAATAATACATCACAATATGTTTTTTTCTGTTGTAGATCTTGCTGAGATGATCTTTACAAGATACCTAGAAGATAGCCTTTTGCTTCTGACACAGCCCAATGAATGACCCTGATTTAAATTGACTTATTAAAGCTTTGCAATGTTTTCCTTTGAATAAATTTGAGCAGCATAATATTGCTCCTAGTTTTTTTTTCCTTTTGGTACATTTGTGAGTGTGAATGTTTATGAATGAGAGACATTTGCCAAAGACTGGCCTGTGGAGCTGGGAACGTTTTTTACCTCATCATTTTAAAGGATGAAATAAGATAGGAAAAAAAAAACCAAAATAAAAAGGAATTGAAGATATTCTTCTTCAAAAAGAAAGGTCAGTTATCAAATGCTGAAACTTTCTCTCAACTTTTCAGCCTCCTCATTAACATATATAAGTTGAAATGAAGCAATCATCATGCAACAAAGCTTCCAGCAATTTCAATTACATCTATACAAGATTTCTATGCAGGGCAAAGAGAATTATTAGGGGGGAAAAGTGGGGTGAGCTATTAGCAAATAGGAATTGCTTTGGCACTTGATTCAGTGCTTTTTCAGATGCCATCAAATCCTATGCCTTTGAAAGTGGAGCATGGTCAATCAAGATTCATGTCAACAATTGATTAGGATAGAACAGTGATGGCAAAACTTTTAGAGACCGAGTGCCCAAACTGCAACCCAAAACCCACTTATTTATCCCCGAGTGCCAGGTGCGCATGGCCCACTGGATGGGCATGACTGTGGTGGTCATGGCAGATTGGGTGGGTGTGGCCAAGGTGGGCGTGATCACCTCAATGTTGCTCGTGGGGAGGGACGCCTGTGGGAGCCAGGCAGGGTTGGGGGAGATCCAGGTGGTCTCTGACAGGTGGGGCAGTGGGCAGGAGGCTGATCCTGCGGGGAGAGGCGAGGCAGGGCGGGGGTGCCACTGTCACAGGGCAAGGTGAGGCAGGGGCCGGGGCGGCTGCTGCCTGACACCATCAGCCCCTGCGCACAGAGGCCAGCGAACGCATGGGTGCTGGGATGCATCCAGCCATGTGGGACCTTGGCGAGTTAGTGGGCGGCTGGTTGAAGAGGGATGGTTGCCATCTCCGGGGCATGGTGCGCGTGCCCACAGAGAGGGCTCTGAGTGCCGCTTCTGGCACGCGTGCCATAGGTTCGCCACCACTGGGATAGAAAAAAGGTGTATTTCTGTTTTCAACAGGGGGCTTAAATATATTTATTTAGTATGGTTTAAATTTATTATAGCATTCAACTCCAGTGGACTCTGGGTGATATACACCCTCAGCTAGAAAAACCTCCTTTGAAAACAGATAAAGCATAAGGCCAAACAGGCAACTCAGACTTAAACAATTTGAAAATAACACAGATCAAACAAATAAAACAAAATACAGTGTGCAGGAACAATTTGATATTTGCAAAAGACAGGAATAAATCTGATTTTAGAGATATTATATGAGGGTTTTTTGTATGTCAGAGCAAATGGTAGTAAGCAATCATGCCAAAAATGGCTGTTTGAAGAACACAACTTTTTAATAAGGTATTCAGAGAGCCAAAAAAAGAGAGATAATACTGTTTCAGATTAAAATTATACTCCGTTCATTGAGGAACCTTGTATTTGAGCTAGTTTTCCATTTTGCAAATGCTCCAGAATATTCCAATGGTGCACTATTGCTACCTGGAATGAGGCCCATACAGGTTTTCAAGCACCCTCCTTTTTAATACGAACATTGGGAAAGGTATCAGAATAGAACAGGCCACAATAGGTATTTTGAAAGTAAAATTAATTTCAGAAATAGTGAAATATATTAAAGATAAATAAGAAAAAGATAGAGATATATTTGATATAGTGCTAAGTAAAAAATATATTTGCTCCTTTCCGATTTTCTAAAGCTTTGCATATTTTACAAATTAATATTACCAGAGCTTTCTGATATAACATAAATTTAAGAGTATTAAAAACAACCAAGTATGGGATTCATTTACTTCATAAACCAAGTTATCAAACATGTGACTTCCCAGTATGTAAAAAGCTAATTGTCCATACTGTTGTCATCAATTAAAGGGGTAACCAGCTCTCTCCTAGATAAATCTCCAAACTTTGCTCCTTTCTTTACAATAAAGTTCTCATCTCACAGATTCTACCAGCTGGTCATACCTGATTCAAAAAGAATCTCTGAAAACTCCATTCATTTATGATTATCAGTCTTGAGATGGAGAAGATTTGGGACAATAGTAAATCTCCCTACAGGTAGCCAATCCAATTTGTCAGAATCCTTCCAAGACTGTAGAACACAGAAATCACACAAACACAAAACAGGACAACATCCAGGAAGCTGCTGGCTTCTCTTTTATGGGCTAAAGCCGGGGTCTTCAAACTTGGCCCTTTTATGAGTTGTGGACTTCAACTCCCAGAATTCCTCAGCTAGCATGCCTGGCTGAGGAATTCTGGGAGTTGAAGTCCACAACTCATAAAAGGGCCAAGTTTGAAGACCCCTGGGCTAAAGTAAGTGTGAATGACTTTACCACACAAAAGCACTACATGAAAATAGGATTCATAGGACAGTAGATTAGAATGGAATATTTAATTTTGGAGCAAAATCAAACACACAAAATCTATGTTGCCTTCCACCAAAATTTCTGTTGTATAGTCTGAAGTGACTGGTGAGTTGTCTTGGACAAAGTGCTCTAGGTAACTGAGTGAAATATTTATTTATAAAATTTATAAAAAAATAGTGTCTGGGATTGTTAACAGTGCACCATTTCCATGGAAGAGGTAACTCTTATTTTATCAAAGCCTTGTAGACCTCTTAGAGTTTGGAAGTCCAAGTCTAACTTGCTCTGGGACTTTAAGGAGCAGCTCTGAGCCAGCCGGCTTTGTTTTACATAAATCACACAAATTTTGGCTCCTCTCTTCCCAGTGAAGTTCTCACGTCCCAGATTTTACAGGCTAGTTATATCCCACTCAAAGAAAATCTCTCGCTTCCAGTAGGAACATGGCCACCTGAAGGCATTTTTACCAATTTGTGGGGAGCAGGTTCTCCATGGTTTTCATACTTGGAGCTGGTTTCTAGGCTTCAAGAAACTTCCATGGGGAAGGGGAGTCTTCAGAATCAATCTTGTGATGTCCCAGGTAGCTGGGTTCTCTGGGAAAGCTTTGAAGAGAGAAAAAACCAGATTGGGTAAGCCTTCAACTGGTGGTAGGGCAACCAAGAAGCAAACTCACCATGAAAAATTCAGGCATTTTAAATATTTTTAAAATGGACAATAAAGCATTCTTCTTAGACACATTTTTTTGCATACTTATATTTTCTGTTGCAAAAGAGGCTCATTTTGGATGCAGCCTGTTTTAAAAAAAACGGTGTCATTTCTGATTTTAAAATGGTAGCTGGAAACAATTTTTGAAACTTAAAGTTTTAAACTTCTTTGAGGATTCTATTCTTTTTATATTGATTTTGCCTGATTTTCTGAAGTTTTTGAATAAAGACTTTCTAAGTGGTGCTTCTAAGAAATTTGTTGTGGGGATAAAAAAAAAGTTCTGATTTTACTTGAAGCTTATTGGACAGGAATTAACATAGCTTTAAAGCTGCTTGCCTGTAATAAGATATTTGACCACAAGAGGGAGGTCAAGACGAGGAGTTTGCTTATAAATCACACTTTCTTAACAGAAGAAACTTGTAGTGGTGCTCTTTGACCACAGGAGGGATCCAAATACCATAATATTGCCTGTAAATTACTAAAATAAATGGAATTAAACTTATAATTCATATGGTTGTGATATTTTGTGAATTATCAATATGACAATGACAAAAAAAAATAAAGTAGTAGATTGGGTGAATCTGAATCCCTAAGTGCTATTCTGGAGAAATATTCAAGAAAAACACATCAAGTAATCCTAGCAATGGGAGCAAACATTGAATTAAAACTTGATATGCTCTGAAGGGAACGTCATAAGGAGATTCATCAGCTAACTGGAGAAATTAAACAGATAAAGCATAGAATGGATTTTTGGGAGTGCAAATCAGAGAAGAAAGACATTCAGGATGAAACTGATTTGGATGAGAGGGCCTTTTGGAATTCTAGAATAAAGGACTTCAGTTAAGATTTTGAACAGTTCCTGAAATGTCTGGAGAAGACATCAAATGGGGAATGATTAAATCCTTGGCTCAATTAATTGATTCAGAAATGAGAACATTGAAATAGAAATAGAAAAAATATATAGCATAAATTCATGATTTGCCACCACAAGAAAAGTACCAAGAGTTGTTTTAATTCAGTTTGTAAGAAAAAGAAAAAGAAAACAAGAGAATAAGTCTTAGATTGTCACTTTAAATCTACAGTGAAAATTGACAGTGTGGATATAATTGTCCTGGAGGAAATCCCTGATAGAAGTTTGAGAAAGAGAAAAGCTTATACCTTCTTACAGACATCCTGAAGAAGAGAAAAATTGCATTCCACTGGGAGTGATATTTAGTTACCAAGAACAAAGTTTTAGGCTGAATTCCATAGAAAAAGCCAAGGAGTTGTTGATTAAACATAAATTAATTTTGGTCCCAGTGCAAATGTACAGTACGGCACAATACATTTCCATGGAAATTTTACCTTTTACTACATCAAACATCAAAAAGATGTTGAGACTCTAGAAAAAGTGCGGACAAGAACAACAAATATGATTTGGGGACTGGAGGTTAAAACATATAAAGAACAGTTGCTGGAATTGGGTATATCTAGTTTAACTAAAAGAAGGTCTAGGGGTAACATGATAGCAGTGTTCCAATATCTAGGGGGCTGCCATAAAGAAGGAGTCAACCTATTCTCCAAAGCACATGAGGGCAGGACAAGAAGCAACGGATGGAAACTAATCAATTATGTTATTCTATATTCTGTATTCTAGACCTCTTAGAGTTTGGAAGTCCAAGCAAGTTTACCTTGCACTAGGACTTGAAGGGGTTGCAGAGTCACAATTTTAATGTATATATAATGTTGTTGTTAATTGCGAAGTCGTGTCTGACCCATCGCGACCCCATGGACAATGTTCCTCCAGGTCTTCCTGTCCTCTACCATCTTCTGGAATCCATTTAAGTTCATGTATATATAATACCAAACAGTATAATTTCTAAAAATTCTCAATTACCTTTCATCCTTATCATAATTTATGACATCAATTTTACTTTTAAAATTGTCATTGTGATCCATTCCATTATTCTCTGATGTTTGCATGGCTGTTCTATTTTTTAGCAAGGAAATGAGAGAACAGAGCTAAGCTTTTGCCAAGTAACATGTAAACATATGGCATGAACAGGTCCAAGCAACTTGGGAGAATCAAATTATTTCTTTGAAATGACAAGAGGAGTGTCACAATGTAAGTTCCATCCTGTAAGTTCTGGTGCTTTCAAAGAGTACCCAACAATCAATTAATGTTGGACTTCTTTTAACTTCTTTTAACATAAGTTTAGTAGTACTCCAGAACAGAGCTATTTCAGGATTGCACTAAGACTTTCTCCAAAAGAGCCCAACTATAAACTGAATCTCCCAAATAAGCCATCGGTGCCAATCCAGCATGAATTCTGGTAATGGGCTATGCCTGCCTACCTTTCTGTCTATCAAAATTCTCCTCCTCTAGCCCCATCTCCATCCCACATCAAGGAGAATGAATGGTGGGTGTTTTCCTACACCTTGATGGCATTTGGCTGGAGAGAAGAAAAGAAAAGTTGTGGAAAACTATTAATCTCTTTCCTTAATGTGCCCTGCATTCCACACATTGGCTGGCATTGAGCCTATGCTGGATAAGGATTCCCAGTGGAGACCACACATTTTATGCCAGTATAGTGTTCTGTTTGTTTGAGAACTTTAACTTGGTTTGAGGAAGAACCTTTTGATTGAGAGACAGACACTGAATTATTCCTGTGATTAAACAGTAAATCTTTAAGTCACTTGGCTCAATTCTTCTCCCTCCCACCCAACATACTCACTATTGAAGTATTTTATAAAGTAAAACATACTTCTTTTTTACATCCTCCCTTTCTACAATATTATGACGCATCACTTGTAAAACCTTCCTGGTTCAAACTGCTTCATTTTACAGGGATTCTTTTTTTCCTCACCAAGCCGAAAATCTGAAATCTCTTAGCATTCAGGGTTTAGCAAAATCTAGTCCTAAGCCCTAAAAACCCAAGCATAGAAACTTTCTTGTTAGTCACAGTTTTATCATCTTAATTCAAGAATGCCCCATTCTCTTAGCAAATAGGAAAAGGAAGGAAAAAAAATGCTGGATTAAGGAGTGTAATCTTCCACAGGTGACAGTTAAATGGAACATCTGACCCAATTGTTTTGTACAGAGTAAATTTAACATCACTTCTTCACCCAAAAGAATATCTAAGAAAGTTGATGATCTCCTCTGCAACATTTCATTGTGTTGTTCCTCAGTTTTTTCCCCTCTAGACTAGAATAACCTTAGAGATAAGGATCAAAGCAAACCATTAATATGGAGGGGAAAAATGAGGTTCAGTCATGGAATTATACATTGGAAGGGACCATTGAGATCAATTAACTTTTTGCAGAGTTTCATAATTTACTACTACAGCAACTATATGCATATCGAGGCCATGAACATTTTAGTGATGAGATTAAACTGAAGATTGGGATGCTGAACTAGCATGTGAGAGACACAAATCTCCATTTGACTAGAGAGTTTACAGAGTCAATTTGAGCCCATTACTCTCAGATCAGTTTCCCTCACAATGTTGTTTTGGGACAAAATGAGAAGAAAACCCCATGTAAGTGAGTTAGAGTTGCCTGAGGAAAAGCAGCTAGTACATGCAACAAAAATTAAATTTTGAAGAAGAATTTGCCCCAGTGCTTTTTTTGTTAAAAAAAAAAAAAAAAAAGGTGCCGGAACTCATACATGTCATACAACCTGCCTTGCCTACCCTACAAGGTTTACCTTTGTAGTTGAAAAAAAAACCTTCAATTTTTAGTATATCTAAAAGACTAGGATTTTGTTCAAGGCAACTCTGGAAAATCTGTTGAAAAAAGGTGCTGGAACTCTGTTCCGGTGTGTTCTATGACAAAAAAAAAAAGCCCTGGTTTGCCCTATGAAGACGTGGGGGAAATCATGCAATGTCAAAAGTGTTGACCACCTGTGGATTCCAATGAAGATTCTGAATTTTATATCATGATACATCTGACTTAGAAGCTGGATCCTTCCTTGGACAAGGCAAGTGAATAAGGGGAATTTATAACTATAAGTATGCTAAACAATCCAGAAAAATGCCCTGATATTCTAAAGAAACAAACCAAGCCAAGCACAAGTCCTAATATACAGCATTCACTCATTTTTCAAGGTAAGCCAAACCACTTGCTCAGCTTAATGAGGGGTTAAACCATTAGTACCTGGATCCTCAAAATTTGTGACTTACATGGTGGATCACAGTTCCAGGACCGTAACTGAATAGGCCTCTTTGTGTGAATCAGATTTGCAGATTAGTTCTTATCAAAATGAGGCACAACTGTAGTTAAACTGATAATAAAGAACATGAGACAGATAATCAAGATTGTACTGTGGTAGTGAAATCACAGCTGTCATTCAGGTTTTCCCAGTTGCAATGTATGGCTGTGAAAGTTGGACCATAAGAAAGGCTGAGCATCAAAGAATTGAGGCCTTTGAACTATGGTGCTGGAGAAGACTCCTGCGAGTCCCCTGGACTGCAAGATGATCAAACCGGTCAGTCCTAGAGGAGATCAACCCTGGCTGCTCTTTAGAAGGCCAGATCCTGAAGTTGAAACTCAAATATTTTGGCCACCTAATGAGAAGGAAGGACTCACTGGAGAAGAGCCTAATGCTGGGAAAGATTGAGGGCAATAGAAGAAGGGGACAACAGAGAATGAGGTGGCTGGATGGAATCACTGAAGCAGTAGGTGTGAGCTTAAATGGGCTCCAGAAGATGGTAGAGGACAGGAAGGCCTGGAGGAACATTGTCCATGGGGTCGCGATGGGTTGGACATGACTTCGCAACTAACAACAACATGTGGTATAGAAAGAAGGATCAATAGGTAACTAGGTATTGCCATATGTGTTTACAGCCAAAACTTCCTTTAAACTCTATGAAGACAGGATAATACTATGATTTAGATTGAATCACACAGCATTTCTACTTAACCAGAATCTTAGTTAAAGACACATGTTATAAACTAGTATCAGACATTTCTAAAATACAATGCCAACCATAACTAAACACGGAGGGATTTACATAACCAAATTGCTTATAATTTTTAGCTCACCACAAAGTAAAATTGTGAATCACTTAGATGACATGTATGCAGTGGTGGATTCAAATATGTGAACAACCGATTCTCTGTGTGGATGCCACTTCCAGAAGTCCGTTCTGGGTCTGGGCAACAAAAAATTAGCTACCGGTTCTGTCGAAGTGGTGTGAACTGGCTGAATTCCACCATTGCATGTATGGTATAGAAACTTAATAGTAAATGAAATAAAATTCTTGGACTGGAGAGTATAAAGAAATTCTAGAATGGTAGGCTAAATTGCGAAATTGAGAAAAACCATTCCAGAACAAAGAAATGACAAAGCACTTCTAGTTCGATAGTAGAAAAGAATAGGTATCCATGGAGCCATTTATTATGACTTTATTATGAATCCAGTTTGACTTGAAGGTAACTTTCAAGTCTAACTGCAGACTGAATTGGGAAATTGAGAAAAAGCATTCCAGAACAAAGAAATGGCAAAGCATTTCCATGTCAATACTAGAAAAGAATATGTGTGTCTGAAGTAATTATTAATTTGGGTTGACTGCTGGCCCAGCGATGGATTCTATTGCAAATCAGGGCTGTTTCCGAAGGAGGCAGAGGAGGAGAGATCCCGGGGCCTATGGAGCAGGCCCAGAGGAAGAGAAAGAGGCTTTTGGAGGAGTTGGTGGCGGCAACAACATGTTCCAGGGGTGAAAAGAAGCAAGGCTTCTTTAAGGAAAAGGTGGAAGAGTCAGGATCAGAAAAAGGAAAGGAGGCAAGGTTGTCGTGCAGGAATACAATCTAATTTGAGGGCTAATCCACATGGAGCTCCGTTTCTATCTGTCTTGTTTGCCATTGTTCATTCCCTAGAGGTTAAAATGGACGATCTGAAACTTCAGCTGGAAGCCATGAACAAGGGACCTATATTGGAGGTGATGGCCCTTTGAGAGCTGTATGCAACTAAATTTCATTTCGGTGTATGCCGATTGGTGTACATTCAAAGTGAAATAAAGTTGTTGTTATTGTTATTGTTTTAGTAAAAGAGGTGGTCCTCTTGGTGGTCCACCTCCACCAACTCTTGAGGAGAAACTTCTAAAGTGCCTTGCTGAACATTGCTGCAAGCCAATTTTCTTGACACCCCAAAACATGTCAAAACATGGAAGTTTTGAAGATTATTACATGCATATTTGGAAGAGATTAAGGCAAAAGTCTTCTAATCCCAGAAGACATGTTGTTAGATGCTCTACCTAATCCCAGGAAGTTTCGGAGAGTACATAAACGCTACCACTACATCTCAGAACATCACTCAGATAGAGCAGAGCAAACCTACCTCACAAAGAAAAAGGTAAATCAGAATATTTTGGTTGTGATGTTTGTTATTTGGAAAACAGAATTACTGATATGAAGTTCTGCATAAATATCAGCTTGTGAATTTTGATTACTGTGAGATACTTTGAGTTCAGTAGGGGATATAGAAGCAACAATACATGCTCAACTATATCACTGAAATCCATTTACTCATAGCTACTTTGCACCAGCTCTTCATATTGCACTGCTTCTTCTAACACAATGGTCAACTTTTATAACAAAACACATTATTCTAAATGTGATGAAATAGTCAGCCATGTTTTTAGAAGAACAGGGCCTTTGCCCTTCCCTGTTTTATTTCTCTCTTTTCTTCTCTTTTGTTTTCTTGCCTTTTCTTATTGTGCTGTTACAGAGCAAGTCAAAAACAAATTCATTCATTTTCTACTAAAACAAATGTTTAATGTATGGGGAGGATATATTTGTTCAACTTAACACTCCAGATTCAGAAGGTCAGCCCTATCATCCTAGGATTATAGGACTGTAGGTTTTATTTATATTTTAACTGCTATATTCTTTTTACCATGATGAATAAGGTATTTATTATACTTTTATTTACTTCCAATCAGTGGTGGGATTCAAATATGTGAACAACCGGTTCTCTGTGTGGATACTGCTTCCAGAAGTCCATTCTGGGCCTGGGCAACAAAAAATTAGCTACCGGTTCTGCTGAAGTGGTGCGAACTGGCTGAATCCCACCACTGCTTCCAATGTTCATAGACAGATACAGTGAAGTGGCTGCATTCCAAAGAAAGATTGGACAACCATTTATCTGAAATGGTATACGGTCTCCTGCTGGAGTAGGGGGTTGGACTAGAAGATCTCCAAGGTCCCTTTCAACTCTATTATTCTATGTTCTATGTTCTAAAGCTTGGGTACAAAGAAATAAGAGAATTAGTCACTGAGCCTCCCATGGTTTTCTCTGTTTGTTGGAAATTCAGGGTTGTTTTTTTTTCATGAAGCAAGAAGGTCCATCACCTGAATGCAGCAACTGAGAGAATTCTGCCCAAAGGCTTTGGAAAAGTGCAATGTCAAAAGTGTAATAAATCCACATTATTCAAGACCACTAAGATCTCTAATGTCTCTGTCTCTTAAATATAGATCAGAAGATTCAGTTCAGACTTTGGTATAGCCAATGGGAAGGACCAAGGATTAGATTTGCTTTTAAAATAATTAGGAAGTTTTCCAGAGAACGCTGAAGGCTTTTTTTATCATAGATATTCATTTGAAATCAACATATGATTATATCAGTTTCAGTTTCTTAAACACAATAATATAGCATTTGCAGGTATAATTAGAGTCATGAGATTTGGGAAGCAAAATTCCAGATGTCCATCTCATGGTAGGAGAGATTACTACCTGTCATCTAGAGCTTTGTAACCTAGATCTGGTAATGTTAAATATAGATTTTACAGATAGAATGGAGATCACCAACACTTCAGTCTGGGTGTTTTTCTAATGCTAGGCTATTGTAGTTTTTAATGATATTCTTTCATTCTTACATGTTTAATTTTAAAGGATTATTACTTTATTTCTGGACACATAGTGGGAAATTTGCAGGTATAGTTCTGAAATACTGTATATTGCCTACCAGATTTGAACTAAATATATTAAGAGTATGTTTGTTTGTTTATTTGTTTGTTTGCTTAAGAATAAGGTAATTTGTATAAATCAGGTAGCAGTTAATTGTAAGGAATTATTATGTGTCTTTCTGTAGCTTTGACATCATGACTCTCTTCTGAAGGTTCCCAAAGGTCCAACTTTGAATCAGATTAGTTCTGTTTCTTTTCAGAAGAACCCCCCACCCCAAATTTCCGAAGCACAGGAATTAACTAGCATTCAAGATCTGAATACATTACATATGTGACTAATTCATTTTTTACTATGAGATTTTTAAAAATAACTGATTATTCTTACAGATTAAACCAACAAAATGAAGATTGTGATTGTTCTTGCTTGTCTTTTGGCCATCATTGTTCCTTCTGAGGTACACATTAAGTATTGTGGTTGCATGATGGAAATATCATGGATTCATTTAATGCTTGGAAAAAAATAACTGCAAAATTTTGAGGGTCGGGGGTCCTGTGGTGCTTATGGAATGAATTGGGCAGAGTATTCATTTTCTCAAGATTGTTATTTGAAGGTTCAGTTAGGGAAGACAGTATTATTATTCCACACTGCAAACAGAGGCTCGGATGAAGAAATCTGAGAGACAGAGAGAGAGAAAGAGAAGAAATGTTCAGTGTATGTAGGAAGTTCATAGCTTGCAGAGACTTCAACCAGATCCTCCTGCTCATTAGCATGGAGCAGTGTTTCCCAACCTTGACAACTTTTAAGATGTGTGGCATGGCTTGCTAAGTAATTCTTGGCATTGAAATCCACAATCTTACAATTGCCAGGGCGGAGTAACACTGACATACAGTAGAGATTTCAAAGTATTTCCTGTTAAAAAATTCCAAAGGTGGATTTGGGTCAATGTCACTAAGTCTTGGAAGGCAATAGCCTGCGAGGGGAGGTCAGTTCTACAATACCATGAACTACTAAACTAACTTAAAACTGGGGACCCAATTTTTTTATATGGACTTCCAGATACATGGCTAAAGGCAATCAGAATGCTTGCTTGCTACTCTTGTGATGGGCTGCAATCTTTGCTGATGGCTGGCTTGATTTGGCTTGGGGGAATCAGTTCCGTAAGCAGTATTGCTACTTTTGATTTGGTCAAAAACAATTATCACACACAAAAAATAATAATAAAAAAAAATATAATTACAATATTAAATACCCTTTCACGACAACAGTAATATATAATTGCAACATTACAATATCATTACAACATTAAATAACTGTTTCAATCTCATGTATTCCTCATTCTTCTCCTCTTCCAGGCCAGCAGTAGTGAAAGTAGAAGCAGTGAACGATGGGAATACATAGATTATCCAGTCCAAATGCCATATCCAGCCCAAATGCCAAATTATGCCCCTAAGTATCCTCCATACTATGGTGGGAATCTATTTGAAGATTTAAGGAGGGCTATGGCAGGAATCATGCCACCTGTTAAGAAGGGTAAATAAAAGCTGTTCTGTTAACTGGTAAGTCTTGCAGAGATATTTTACCACAGACAAGAATATACAGTGGGCTATTCCTAATATCATTTCATGATAACATATCCTTTAAGCCTGTCTATTCCCACATGCATTTGTCTAGAACGGGATGCAGTCAAGGAATTCCAATGGTTCTGGGATCTTGGTGTGTGTCTGTATTTGGGGGAGAGGAGTGTTGGTTGTTGCTTTTATTGGCTGCAGTAAGCCATTTAGGATCACTCTGTAACAAATAGATGCTTATATAAGTTCTGCCCTTTACCAATAGAATTAAAGCTCTAGATCAGGAAAGGGGAACTATGGCGTCTTTACGACCTATGGACTTCAGCTCCCAGAATTTCTGAGCCATGATGGCTCACCCCTGTTCTAGATCTTGCCCAAGAAGTACCAAAGAACTGTTTACAGAAGCCAGCTTGGTTCTTCTGTAAAAGTGGGGAGCTCAAAATTGCAGAACTTGTTCTTTTTTTAAAAAACAAACAAACAAACACATATTGTAATTCCCAGAACCCCCAACAAAGACAAAGGCCTAGTTTAGATCAAAGAGCAGAACAATTATTCTGGAACTGTGACAACTAACTAATAAAGTAGGCAGGCAACACTTATTCATGAAGGGAGGATTTCTGGAATAATAATAATAATAATGATACTACTACTATTACTAATAACAATAATCAGGTTTTTTTACTGTTTGTTTTTACATTTCTGTTGTAGATCTTGCTGAAATACTCTTTAGAAGATACCTAGAAGACATCCTTTTGCTTCTGGCATAGCCTGATGAATGATTTTGCTTTACATTGACTTTTTAAAAGTTTTTATGCTTTTCTTTAAATAAATTTAACAGAATTACAGAATTTTGCTTGAAGATATTTGTTTATATTTGTGTGCTTGTGGTGTGGTGTGGTGTTTATGAATGAAATGGGAAACATTTTCCAAAAATTGGCCTTTGAAGCTGTGGGGGGGTATATTTTGCCTCATCAGTATAAAGGGCTGAAATAAAGTGTGCAGGTTTAAAAATGAAAATCAAGGAAAAAGGAATTGAAGAAATTCTTCTTCAAAAAGAAAGGCCAGTTGTCAAATACTAAAAGTTTTTTTTTCAATTTTTCAGCCTCATCATTAACACATATAACAACATATGAAGCGATAATCATGCAACAAAACTTCCACCAATTGCAGTCAAACACACACACAAGCGTTAGAGGCTGTGTAAAGAATACTATTAGGAAAACAAGTGGGATGCGCTATTAGCAAAAAAGAATTGTTTGAGAGCTTGATTCAATGCTTTTGAATACACCCTTTTTTCTTTCAGATCCTAGTTGGTGATGAGATTTAATTGGGAAAAAAATGAGATGCCTCTCACAGTTACTACTGTTGAGCCAGGTACTTCCTAGTCTATACCTATGCATTTCATTTTTGCTGTCTAAGTGCAGAACCTTACTTTTCTTACCACTGAACTGCATCTTGTTGGATAGGGCTTGATGTCTCCCCAGCTTGATGTCATTGGCAAATTTGATGAGTTCCCCATCTATCCCCTCATCTAGATCATTCATGAAAAAGTTGAATAGGACTGGGCCCAAGATCAAACCTTGAGATATCGCACTGCATACTTCCCTCCATGTACATGTAGTTCCATTGAGGGCTACTCATTGAATGCTGTTGGTCAGCCAATTGCAAATCCATCTGGTGGTGGCACTGTCTATTCCACATTATTCTATCCAAGAAGTAGGTTGTGGTTTACTTTTTCTAATGCCTTGTAGAAGTCCAAATATGTCGACGGCATTTCACTGATCTACTAATTTAGTTACTTTATTAAAAAAAGGCAATAAGGCTTGTCTGGCATGATTTGTTTTTAACAAACCCATGCTGGCTTTTATAATGACCTTGTTTGTTTCTAAATGCTCACAAATCCTCCACTTCATTGTATTTTCCAGGATTTTCACAGGTATTGATGTCAAGCTGATTGGGCTATAATTTCCTGGATCTATTTTCCCCCTTTTTTGTAGATTGGAACCATGCCGGTTCTTTACCAATCCTCTGATATTTTTCCTGTGTTACAATCTGTGCCTCTGAAATTACATCTGCCAGCTTCTTCAAAACACAGGGATATAAACTATAGCCAGTGGTGGGATTCAGCTGGTTTGCACTGGTTTGGCAGAACCGGTAGCTGTTTTTTTCTTGAATTCGGTGAACTGGTTGAATCCCATCATTGGATGGCACCCACTGAACCCCTAGCTCTTTTTCACAAGACCCAGAATGGCCCTTTAGAAATGCATGGACACCACTTCCGGAAGTTCATTCTGGGCCTTGGAGGCCCGGAGGAGGCCTCCCAGACCCAGAATGGCCCGCCAGAAATGTGTGGACACTGCTTCAGGAAGTCCAGGCCCAGAACAGACTTCGGGAAGCGGCATCCACACAGACAACCAGTTGTTC